ATCTGATCCACCAACCAGAACCTGTTTTTCACTTGAGAAATGTTAATTATGAATCCAGTTCCGCCTAACACCTGGTATGCTTTATCGGAATGATATTGCATCAGTAAGAGCACTGTATCTGTCATTGGATGGATATTTGATCAGTAAACACTGTATTTCTATGGATGTATTGATCAGTCATACACTGTATCTTTATGGATGATATTGATCAGAATACACTGTAATCTTTATGGGATGAATATTGATCAGAATACACTGTAATCTTTATTAATTATTGATCAGATATTACACTGTATCTTTATGGATTGATATTGATCAGGTTATCCACTGGTATCTTTAATAGATGATATTTTTTGATCAGGTAATGCTACTGTATCTTATGGAATGATTTGACAGTATCAACTGTATCTTCTATGGATTGATATTCGATCAGTATACACTGTTCGTTTATGGAACTGACTATTGATCCTGTACTTTTTCTGTTGTTTGAAAGCAGTCAGAACTGTGGACATATGACGGCCTTTTAGGCTCGTTGTTTCTAGAGTATACGTGTTGTTCGAACACGTTAGAATGTTAAATGTGTATTTCTTAAAGGGAGTTTGGTGCAGGGAGCTTTTAGTTGGATTCAAACTGCTGATATGGATCATTGTTAACGTTTAGTCTCCACTACAGAAACACTAGCTAACTGATAAAGGCTGATCAGGTTGTCTGACGGTATTAGTTTGATTAATGCTTTAATAATGTGGTTATTGATTACTGATGCTGGCTGATCAGGATCATTAGCAACTAATTGTACTCGGTTTCTAACAGCAGTGTGCTGTAAATGGTTGCCCTTTGTGAGCCTGTTTTTAACTACTTTCTAATTAAACATTAATGATGTTATTAACGGCAAAATGTAGTTAGGAGAGTGGTCAGACTGGTTGGTAAAGATCTTGTAGTGTGTGACCCCCTGTTGCTGATCAGTCTCGTAGAGTAAAAACCACAATGACTTCAAGACTCAAAAATGTTCACTGACAACGTTTTTTTCTCTACAATATCCAATCTTGCAAGGTGAAGGTGTATCAGCCCCCTTATATTGTCCTTCTGAGGGAAAAACTTGTCCTTAAGTAACTTTGAGACTCTGCTGACATGCTAACCCAGCGTACATGAGAACATTCTTCACACAGTGAACAGCATTTCTTAGACTTTCCAATTCCTAAACCATCAAGTTTAAGAGTACCCCGCAGGAGTTCGGAGGTCAGATGTCCAAAAACACTGCTGCGACCTCTGAATGACCGCGTGGAAAAGCAATGAGTCGTGTTTTGTGTTAGCAGTAATCAGAGTGGGAGGAGGATGTGATGGAGCTGAGGGAGGGTAATGTAAGGAAGTAATCAGCTGGAAACCCTCAGTGGTCGGTGGAACGCAGCTCTGGGACATCTGGGAAAGTGTGAGAGGTGGGTTTGATAAACTCCAGGTACGCTGCTAACTATGAGAGCCTCACAGAGAGAATATGAAAACATAAGTGACAGATGACGTGACGGAGAGAGGACGACGTTTGTTCGCAGACTTACAACAAATAAGATGAAACTTGAAGCTCTCAGCTGATTCAGTGAACCCTCAAGCAGCCAGGAATATATTCTTTCTACATATATTGTACCTGTATGCCTTATCACAGTGGGTCCCAACCACTAGGGGTCGCCAAAGCTATACGCAGGGTCGCAAGGCCTATTTTATCCGAATGACTCGTTTTACACAAACATTTTGCAGTTACTGAGTTCACTGTTTCTGTTCATTGTACAGTTTCAAATATAACATGAAATATCCATAAAATATGTCAGTGAGCGCTATGTTTCTACAGTAGCTCAGATTTGCAGCCACTGTAGTTTCTCTAACACACTTGGAAGGTGTGAAAATGGTTGCATTGCAAGGCTCTGGATGTACTTTCTTTGTTCAGTCCTCTGATGAACCGGAGCCTGACTGATCTGGATCACACAGAACTGAACTGAGAGAGTAGAGACGATGGGAAATATTGAAAGAGAGGAAAAGACAAAGAAGTATGTGCAGAAAAAGAAGGAGGAGGTTTGTTTATTGTTAGACAATTGCTTACATGAGAAACAAAGTGTTTCTTGGAAGAAAAACCCGTTTTCACAGAACCTGAATCTTTGAACCACTGATGACTTTTCTCAGATAAAACAAGCAGAACTCGGTCCAAAGACAGCCATGAAGTGTTGAGTTTACAAAACTCTCCTGAACACAGACGTAACAACAGTAACACTTATCTGATCCTTAAAATAAAGCTGCTCATGACCACTGTGGATTAATTAAAACAATCTCCACACTCACAGTTCGAAGACAGGAATGAACCTCCTGAGCTCTCGAAGCAAAAACACACAAACGAGAAGTGGAAATAAAACCAGGAAATCATCTTTCTGATCAGTTTGAGACTGTAGCATGTGTTAAGGAGGAGGTTTTAAAATCTATGAACTTGTGGAGTCTCGTTTTGAAGCCTCCAGTTTGGCATTATTGTCGTCACGATGACAGGTAGTCGGAGCCAGCGGAGGTGAGGTACTGCAAGTTGAGCTGCTCTCATTGGCTGGCATATGTTTGTGAATAGATTTGAGGAGAGAAATAGTAAAATAATAATAGAAACAGAATCTGGATCCATATCTGATCAGCACTTCCTAGTTTGACAGTTTGATCTGAGTTTAGTGCGTTGAGCTGGACGGACT